GGAGAGCGCTTGCCTGGCCCTGGGTTTGATCCCCAGCACCATAAAAAAAAAAATTAAGTAAAAATAGTGTTCATTCTTAAAAATACATTTCCCAAAGTCCATTGATGGGGAGTCTGAGGAAGGTCTAAGGACTTTATATTCAAGGGTGCCACTCTACAAGCAGCAAAGTCAATGATACTATCCAACGTTTTCAGTTCCTTTAAGAATTTCTGCCCCAATGTTTCCAGATGCATTTCACAATAAATTGTTCAAACTGAGAACAAGGAGCACCATGAGCATTCTGGCATCTCCATTCGTGTCTCTCCAGAGGTGGCACCACCCCAATCCCAAATCTGTTCTCAGAAATGTACGTAAGAGAACTCTCCAGGGACCGGAGGAGCCTGGGTAAAGTGCACTGGCTCCCTGCCAGGCAAAGAGCAAAATAATATTCTGTATGAAAAAGCTGGTTTTTTTCCTTCTTCTTTCTCTTTCTTCATTTCTTAAAGGGGAGGGGAGTGTTTCTGTTTTCCTTCATTGTGCACCAAATCCCTAAAGACCACAAATCTCTAAAAGTACACACATTAATATTAATGCAATCACAATAGGAACTGTTATACAGTAAAGAGAGAGAGAGAAAAGAAGTAATGGAAATTGAAGGATGACTGTCTTGGGTAGTTTTAGGATGTTTTTAGCTCGTGGGAGGTGTTTATCTTTTTACTTTTGGTATGGCTTAACCACTAAGCCATACCCCAGCCCTTTTTATTTTTTACTCAAAGACAGGGTCTCATTAAGTTGCTTAGGGCCTTACTAAATTACTGAGGCTGGCCTCCAAGTATGATCCTCCTGCCTTAGACTCCCTAGCCTCTGGGATGACAGGTGTGCTCCACACTGCGCCTGGTGGAGGTGTTTATCTTACTAATAAGTACTTTTCTCAGGGAGGGATGATCCCCCACATGCTCCAGGGAATCCTAAGGATCCTGAGTAGGATGCTAGGACCAGTAGCAGCCCCAAGGAACGGTGGGAGGGCAAGGAGGTCCTAAACAAGCTACACATCCAAATGCCGCCCATAAAACAACCAATGTCTTGTTATATGAAAGCAGTTCCAAATATAGAGTCTCCTAGCCACCCTTCCAGTTCCAAATACTGTTATATGTCCCTTAAGCAGACACAAGGTCAGAGTCCTCAAAGCACCTTCATCTAGGGACTGCCCAGCATAGCTGCTGTACACCTAGGACTTAGGGACAACACTGTCTTCCAACAAGGACTTCCCGAGGAGGGAAAACTGCAGACACTGTGGCCTAACAGTTAAACAGCTTCCCACCAGAAACTGGAAGACCCAGGTTCCAGCCTGAATTCTGTCCTTAGCCTTGAGATGACAACTGCTCTGCCTTCTGAAGTCCTAGGGTTCTTGGTAAAATGAAGTGGCTCAAGTACAAACCATCTCTGCTAAACAGCTCTTCTCAGTCTAAAATTCTAGAATCTATGTCACCAAATGCTTCAAATGTAGACAATGACAACTTTCTCTTTATAGCAACCATGAGCCCCTAGGGACCTTCCCTGTTCATAACTTTCCAAAAGGTTTATATTTAGTTCAGAGAGGACTACATTTAATGCAAATGAGGCTACCCCAATGAAGTTTTTTTTATTATTATTATTAATCTATGGGATGTTACCTCTTGTAATTTTTTTTTCATACTGGGGATTGAACCAAGGGCACTTAACCACTGAGCCACATCCCCAGCCCATTTTGTTTTTTTTATTTTGAGACAAGAGTCTTGCTAAGTTGCTTAGGGCCTTGCTAAGTTGCTGAGGCTGACATTGAACTTGAGATCCTCCTGCCTCAGCCTCCCAAGTCCCTGGGATTACAGGCATGTGCCACCATGCCCAGCTGTAATTCTTTATTCTAAAATTCATATATATATTTTTTTAAATAAATATATAGATATGTATGAATATATATGTATATATATATATATACACACACACACACACACACATATGTCTCTCTCTCTCTCTCTCTCTATATATATATATATATATATGTGTGTGTGTGTGTGTGTGTGTGTGTGTGTGTATGGTTGTTGTTGTTGTGCTGGGGAGTGAACCCAGACCCTTGTGCATGCTAGGCAAATGTTTTACTACTGAGCTACATCCCCAGCCCCAAAATTAATGTTTGCACACAACAGCATCTGATCTAGACTGTATTTTAACTTTATTTTCTTTGATCTCTCATAGCTCTTCTACATTTTTATGTGTTAAAAAAAGGCTAGAGAAATATTAGAAGGCAGTACAATCTATAACAATTCAAGGCCTCTGATTTTTTATCTAGTTGAGGGTGCTGAAACTATCTGTTTTCACGGAATAGTTTTTCCCTTTCCTGGATTCAATGCTACTGACAGGCAAAGAGCAGATTAAGGAAAAACAAATAATGTGCCTAACCAGGACTCTCCTGGCTTGGCTGTTAACTAATTGTGTAGCTTTGAGCACACAAGTATACTCATCTGCAAAATATGAATAACAACACAGCAGCCCCCTAACTCCCCAGCACCAGCAAGAGGTTAGGTAGGCAAATGATAAGGTCAGAGACAAAGAACAGACACTGGCTCTCCAAAACACAGGCATTTGCTTCATTTAGGGGGAAAAAAATGGACACTGCTACTAATTAACTGTGGTGGTTAAACAGAAGCAAGATGCAGAAATTCCAGATAGGTTGAACTGGGTCCAAAGTGAATCAAGAACTGAAGCACAGATTAAGCCTCCCAAAGTCTAGCTAAGTTGATGATGAAGGTCTTCTTCAGAGGCACCTAAGCTGCCTCCCAGTGTCCAGTGGTGAGGTCAGTGGGACTTGGTGCCAGGAGCAGTGGTGGAGACCAGAGGATCTGCTACCAGCTCAGCTCAGGGACCTACCCTGTGGCAAGCTAGGCCTACTTTCTTTATCCATGATCCGATTTGATTAATCTGAATTCTTTCCCTCCTCTGTAAATTGCCCCTTTGCTCCTCTGACAAAGTAGAAAATGACTTCAGCATATGACCTCACAGAAAATGAATCATGCTTGTTTTAGTCCAAATGAATTATACACAAAATAATTTATAATTATACACTTAGTACAGGTGGAGTCTGATTTTGTTGGCCAGTTAAGAAAGGCCTCCTCCTATATCACTCAAATGAGATTACTTCACTGGGTGCTTGTGGAAGCGCTCTGCCTGGGGAAAAACACCAGCCCAGCGTGCTGGGCACACCTGTAATCCCCAGAAGGGCAACCTGGAGGCCGGCTGCAGCAACTTAACAAGACCCTGTCTCAAAATAAAATATTAAAAGGGCTGGAATGTAGCCCAGTGGTAGAGCACTCCTAGGTTTAATCACTAGTACCGCAATAAATAAATAAATATGTAAATAAACCAGGATAAAGAGATTTTGTTGCTAAAAGAGAAGATTCTAGAACTGGTTCTTTTCTTGACTATCACCTGCATTTTGGGGGCATTTCATGCAGTCCCAACATGTTCAGAGATTCCAAACTCCTATCCATCCTCAGGAGACCAAATACACATACCACCTCCACTCTGAAGGGTTTTCCCAGGAGGTGCGAAATTTCCACCTTTTCTATTCATTTGCCTCCCTCATGCCCCACAAAGCTGTGCTGTTCTCCATTTACAAGGTCAGATTCACCCCCCAGCCCCACCCCAAAGACACCTCTGCCCACCCACAAGGCTTCCACCCTTCATGACCCTCCTCAAAGGCCAGCAAACTCCCAAGCTTGGTTGATTGTGATGGTGGGAGCTGAGCTCGCCCTCCTTGGCAGCCAGTGTCCCTGTGAGACGTTTTGTAAACTCCGGGCTACTTTGATCTTGCCTTGGATTGTATTAGGACCTTGCCTTAACATTTGTTCCAGATGACAAACCAAGATAGCCCCTTTACAAAATGCACCTCCCCTTTCACAAAGTAGTGACTCAATAACATATCCCGATCGCTTAAATGCATTGTATTTAAATACGAATACAGTTTGGTCGCTGATTTCATTTGTGTTGTCACACCAAAACACACTTGTGAGTTTCAAATTGCTTCGACTGGCTTCACGCTTCCTCGCTGTCCCTGGACAGACGCTAAGCAGTTGTGAAATCACCAAAAAGGTGGGGAGGGAGAAGAGGAACGCAAGGAAAGACCGGGCCAGAATAACCCTCATGAGTCACCATTTCCTGGATGATGGAGCTCGCTGCTTGGGGGGATCCGAAGAATGGAAGCCTAGTAGCGTTTGGAGACCGAGCCCCCGCCCGGCAGCTGCAGGACCCGGAGCCGGGACCCTGGCCGGGCACCGCGTGCTCGAGCGCCCTCCTGTGGTGGCGCCGCAGCCCCCGCGGCTCCGGGTTCGCCCGCAGACCACGCTCCCCGCGGCGCAAGAAACAAGAGACGCAGAAAGTTTCCTAGCCAGGTGGTTTGCAAAAGGACAAGCCAGGTTCCCAAGGCTTGATGCGCGGGCGTGGCGGGAGCGGCGCCCAGGCCAGCAGCGACCACCAGACGCCTAGACGGACCCCCAGGGCCCCGAGATGCTCCCTCTCGGGGCTGAGGGCCTCTAGATCCTGAGGGCACCCCGCACGCCGACCTTACAGCGGGAGGCGGGCAGGAGTGGCAGGGCCCACAGCCAGGGCAGGGGGCCCCCGACACCCCAGCTACCCTGCGCGCTTGGGCTCTTGGGTTTGCTTTATTCGTTTTCTTAATTGGAGGGAGGGGGCGCACCAGCTCCTTTTGGCGCATTGTGATCCCCAGCAGTCTGGTTTCTGGGTGCCTCCAAAGAGCCCACCTGGAGTCCACTGCCCCACCCAAAGCCGCCCTCCCGCGCTGGGGTGATAAGTGGAAATGGCAAATCCTCTGCTTCCTCCCCCTCCAACCCTCTGGTTTGGGAGGTAATGTTCCACCCGGGTTTCCCTGACACCCGCAGTGGACCTCGGGCCGAGAGGCGGCCGCGGGAGACCGGCACCCCGGGGCGGGGGAGGCGGGAACGGGCGAGGCCCGGCGCGGCACCTACCTCGTCCACGGTGAGCGGCATGCAGATCCGGTACTCCTTCAGCAGCATGGTCCTGCCGGCCGCGGACCTCCGAGGCGGGAAGCGGGGGGCGCCCCCCCAGACCAACAAGGCTGCCGCCCAGGCGCAAGGCAGGGCGCTCCTCGGAACCCGCGGCGAAGCAGCCTTCGCGGTGCGCTCAGCTCCTGGCTTCCTCCTCTCCTCCCGAGAGCATGTCAAGGTTTGGGTCCGGTGTTCGTGGCTCCCCCGCCTCCTTCCTCGCCGAGGTCGGTCCTCCCGGAACGCGGTGTAGCAAAGTCGGGAGTGAGGGAGGGAGACCCGCTGGAAACGCTACGATCGGCAGCCTGGGGCGGTAGGAGCGGCCGCCGGATCAGGACATGCCCGGCAGCGAGCGAGGGAGGGGAAAAAAAGAAATTTCCAAAAATTAAAACAAATGCATAAAAGTCACTCTCTCGATCCGCCTTCGAAAGCAGAGCAGACCCTGGCTACCCGCCTCCTCCGACCGGTCTGCCCAGTGCTAATGTCACCAGGAACACATTGCAGCCGGATCCGGAGATGCAGACTTTCCAGACAAAGGCTCGAACGGCTCCTCTCTCCGGGCGGTAAACAAGATTTCCTGCTCTTTTTAGGGCCAGTCCCTGAGTCGTTCCAGGGCTCGGCTGGAGAAAAGGGAAGCAACCGCCGCCGCCACCCCTCGGCTCTGCCGTGCTGGGGCCCCGGGTGCCTCCAACCTCGACTGGCTGTTGCTAGGGGCGGGCGAGAGGAAGCTGGCGCCTTCCGCGCGCGTCCCCTCCCCCGAGTCCCTTGGCTCCCCGAGCGCGGTGCGTGCCCGCGAGTTTGCAGCCACCTCGCTGGGGCCGGAGAGTCCGCGCAGAGCTGCAGTGTGCCTGGGGCCGGGGAGGTGGGTGCGGGAGGAGCGAACGCGACGAGGCTGACATCAGCAGCGGCCGCGGCGGGGAGGGTAGCCCCATCCGGCCAATGGGGAAATGGCAAAGAATGTGGAGGATTTAAACAAAACAGCATGTCTCTCCCGGGCTGCTGCCAGACTGCAGGGCTGCCCCGAGCCGAGCCCGCCAGGTTCCGGGGAGCATCGGAAAAGGGGGCTTTGATTCTGTTTTCAAATATATCCTGGGTGCCACAGTGCCCTACCCAGCCACTCTGGGAAGCTTCTGGACCCAAGGTACACAAAGTGTCCCTTGACCTTAGGAAAGTCTTTACAAATACCCACCACTAACGTTTCCACGATAATCCGGTAAGCAAGACCAATGCTCAAGAGGCGGTGGGATTGAGAACCCTTCCTGGGTTCTTAACTGGTTCCAGAGAAGGAATCCCAGGAAATTAGGAAGTGTGGTAGTGCGAATGAAAAATAAGTATAAATAGAAAAATAGACATGAACCCGACGTCGCCTAGACCTCTTCTGTCCCAGCTTTGCAATCTGACTGCAGGCTTTGCCGAGMAGAAAGAATAGGTTTTCGTGTCAGCACTCCTAAGTTCAGAAAGTCACAGTGAAATGTCAATGAAAATGCCTGGAGTGTTGTTATTTCATCCATATTAAACAGATCCTTCATTTTAACCACAAGAAGCACATTCTTTAGTTACTCAGGAAGCAGCAAGTTGCTGCTGAAGTCTGTTTTTCATTTGTCTGGTATTTTGGAGCTTGTTTTTCTGAAAAGTTGCTAGATGAAAAAATGCATCCGTTGCCTGTATGAGAATAACTGTAAGCATCATCTTTTCTCCAAACAATATTCACACCCTAACGGTCCTACAGCAACTCGAAGAGCTTGGATGGCACTACAGATGGTTTCTCAATAGAATAGTATTACAAATTATGATCAATAAATCCACTAACCAATATAATGATGATGGGCTTGTGGCTAAGGTCATTGCAATGACTACAATTAATTTATAACTTTAAACATCATACAAACCCTGCTAGGAAAATGACACCCTATATCCAGTTTATATTTACGTGAAACTATTTTCTAGATAAATGCCTCCCAGAGTTGGCTCAGAAATATTCACAGCAACTAATTAAAGCTAAACCGAATTCCTCGAGGTGGAAAATCTAAATTTGACACTGTAGTGTTGAATAATAACACATTGAAAGTCTGTGATACGAAGCAGCTCAAGCTGTTTTTCTTTTTTCTACTTCTTACTTGAAAACAAGTGTAGCTCTGGGCACCTGATCATTTTTGCAGAAGTAACAAGGCAATGCAATACATTGCCACCGTCCTCGTGCACACAGGACATCACAGCCAGGTGTGTGGGCTCCATTCCTGTTTTCTGAGGTGTTTCCTGACATTGATTCTAGAATGAAGGGTTCTGATGGAGTGAAGGAACTACTCTGAGTTTCCCAAACTGTAAATTGTCATGTACACGTGTCCTTCTGTATCCACAGGAAGACTGGTTCAAGGATCCTCTGTGGATACCAAAATCCAAGAAGTTCAACTCCCCTTATAAAACAGTATAATAATTTCACACAGCCTACAAACATCCTCCCATATATTTTAAAATATCTTTAAATTACTTACTATAAATAATACAATCTACATACTGTATAAATAGTTGTTATGCTGTGGAGAAGAATGACAAGAGAAAACATCTGTACATGTTCACATGCATTTTTTCCCCAGTATTTTATTTGTTTTTGTGGTGCTGGGGATTGAACCCAGGTGCACTTTACCATTAAGTTCCATCTCCAGCCCTTTTTTATTTTTTAAGAAAGGCTGGCCTTGAACTTGTGATCCTCCTGCCTCAATCTTCCAAATCACTGAGATTACAAATGTGTGCCACTACATCCAGCCTTTTTCCAAATATTTTCCTTTGACAATAGATTGAATCTGCAGATAGGAAACTCACAAAGACTGCTGGATGACTCTGTTTCCTGTCCCATTCCTCCTGTTGTAAGGTGACATCTCCTTTGGATTCTCTTCTCCTTTGCCCATCCACATGCCTGGTCGCATTAATCTTGTGCAAGCACAAAGCTCTAATCCCACCATCTTCATAATCTTTTAGTAATTCTCTGTGGTCTACTTGGCAGAAGCGTCAAGACACTGAATCCCTTTTCCTCAATTAGCTCATTATGCTTCCCTAGCCCTACTGCAGCCACAGGAGACAAATCTGGTGGCTGGAGAAAGCCTCATCATTCCGGTTTGACCCTTCTGCTTCATCTCATTGCCTTCACGGAGAATCCCTCTCTCTCCAGCTCATCCCCCAAGCGTGGATAATCTGTGTTCCTGGAAAGTGATTCTGACGGCGATGTGCTGGATGGGTTAGGACAGGTAGCAGAGGCAAGACGTGATTATGTTATTATAATACTATAGGAGACGTGGGGAGGACGAGACAGAGAATGAAGAGGATGAATTCAAAAGATCTGGACAGGAATTGGGACAGATTAGTATTCACTACAACGATGCTTGCAGGTGGAGGGTGTAGGGAGAGTATTCATTCAGAACTCATTCACTTTAAGGGGGAGAGCGCCACCTACTGGCAAAGAGCGATTACTTAAAAATGTTTTAAGTCGTTAGCAACTATGGCAGGAGAATTATATATATCTTTGTTTCTTTTCAACCGATGCTATCATACTTAAAAAGGGTTTTGAAGGTGTTGCTGTCATCATATGATTATTAAGAATGCACTATTAACAACGTGCAATATGTGGCTAGTGATCATCATGTATAAAAACAATAAGGGTGGGGCACAAAGAGCAAAAAAGGGGAACAAAGAGTAAAGTTACCAGAGGGATGATATGACCAAAAGGAAAAGAATAGTATGCTGTGGGCGTCTGTGACAGCACATATTCTCAGATAAGTGACAATCTCTGGAGGCAAGTGTACTCAGAACACAGGATGGGGGCAGGTGCACATTCAAAATCAAAATCATGAGTTTTCCAACCTATTGTCTCAAGTGCTTTCTGATGAGGGCCTCCTTGTTGAAAACCACTTAGCCTGTGAGAAAAAAAAAAAAAAAAAAACCTATGAAGGGCTTGACTCACCTGTACTGTACATAGTCCCTGAAAAAGAGTATGGCTTTTGGGACTCTACTCCAATTGTGTTTTATTTCTAGAATATCCCTCGTACTTCCAAACCAAAATATTATGGTTCTTCTTCCCATCTTCCCTTTCTCCTACCCATAAGGTCTATGGGTTAGTCAAGGCCCATGGCAAGTCCTATCTCCAAAGAAAAGTCATTCTAGAAAACTCTTTACCTTCCTAGACAATCCCAAAACACTTTTCTGAACTACTCATTTGATTCTTGTTTTTATGCAAGTGTGGCCTTCATATATACTGTTGTAACCTACTCTCCAGGGTTTCACCTGTTCTCCAACACCCAACATGGTGGTGGGCCTCTGAGGAGACAGATTTGACTCCATCATCTAGAAAAATGAAGCATGCTGTGAGGGAAGCTGGACACTCAGGAAACATCTATTAGATATATGCATGTAATAGTGTGGGGTTTTTTTGGGGGGAGGGGCGGTACCAGGGATTGAATTCAGACACTCAACCACTGAGCCACATCCCCAGCCCTATTTTGTATTTTATTTAGAGACAGGATCTCACTGAGTTGCTCAGCGCCTTGCCATTGCTGAGGCTGGCTTTGAACTCATGTCTTCCTGCTTCAGCCTCTGAACCTCCGGAATTACAGGCGCGTGCTACCGTGCCTGGCTTACTGCAGCATTCTTAACCTCAGTACTGGGACAGGTAATTCTTTTGTTGTGGAGGTCATTGTAGGACTTTTGTCAGCATTCCTGCCTTTCCCACTAAATGTACACCTCTCAAAGGTGCGCATGCACACACAGACACACACACACACACATTTGGCTTGTTGGTGTGGGGGTGATGGGTGATTAGTGTAACATTTGTTAATCCTGTCTAATGTTTAGCTACACCAAGAGGAAGCTTTCATTGAGACTACCTTTCAGGTTGTCAAAATAAGAACTAAGGAAAGAAGAAATAAAAATCATTATGTCACAGTGATATAAAGATGTCCCTCTGCTTTTATTCCCATTTTCAGCTTTACATGTCCACAGTATCAAAGGGTCTTGATAAAGACTCTTTTGTGTTTGTTTTAACATTATCTTTGATCACTTGGTTAAGGTTTTTCCACAGTAAAGCTATTATTTTCCCTTTCCATGCTCTATTCTGAGTCATTAAGTCCAGCCCCCACCATATTGTAAGGGAGGGAGTACAATATGGTCCCACCTCCTTAAGGGGAGAATATCCACATCTATAATGAGGAATTCTGAATTATTTGTCCCTTTTTAAATTTTTTTTCTTAATTGTGTGTGTGTGTGTGTGTGTGTGTGTGTGTGTAGTGCTGGGGATAGAACCCAGGGCTTGGCACATGCTAGGTAAATGCTACACCCAGCCAAGTTTATTTTATATTTTGAGTTATAACCAATACTACATTACTAATTTTGTTGCTCACAGTTGTCTGACTTAGCCACGGGGAATTCTTTCAGGATGGTGACTTGTCCTTTTGGCCTGCACCCCATTTTTATTGGGCAGTTCAAGAAAATGTTATTCTTTGTAATTAATTTTTGTTTTGTTAAATATTAATTGCTTAATTCCAACAAAGTATAACTGTGTGTTTAAATCCCTCTGTCTGTTCTTGTTTGGTTGTTGAGCAAATGTTAGAATACTTTTTTAATAAAACTATACAAAGCAAGTCCCAAGGCGATTCTTACATGTAGACCCATTTATCAGGCCTCTATTAAATGCAAAGAATGTCTTTGATGTGGAATTGCTTGTAGCTGTGTAGTAAATGCTCATAAAATAAAAATGAATTGACAATGATGTGGTACAAATTGTTTCACACAGAAAAAACCTGGAGGTTCTACAGCCAAAGGTGCAGGTGTTCTTTTTCT